AAAAAAGAGAGAGAGAGAGAGAGAGAGAGAGAGAGAGAGAGAGAGAGAGAAATAACTTTTTCCGAAGGCAAAGAAGAAACAAGAAAACGTAACAACGGCATTAATATACGTTTCTTTTACATTTTATCATTGTTTCAATTTTCACTTCTTAGAAGCTTCGTTTACGTTTAATTCTGTTACTCTCCTCTAACATTCCACTTATGTTCTGGATTTTTATTTTCGCCAAAGCTATTTCACATAGAAAAATGTAAATCTTCGACAATCTGAGAATACATTTATGTTGTAATATACATATATATATGCATATTACAAGTTAACAAAAAAAAAACAAATTCGAATATTTGATACAAAAGTAGCATTTTTAGAATAAAAGTATATTGCTAGAATATTCTACTTATATATAGCACGGAACATCCGATATGCATACAGCCTGTTTATTTAATAAAATCACTATCGATCAATTCTCGGCCATATCGACCAATAGTCGTTCAGGGGTCAATAGCTGATCGATGTCGTTATACATGTACAATTATACACGCAGTAGTTGTTCAATGATTATATTGGTACAACGATCTGGTAAAATATTCTTTGTCTTTTACGTTATGAATGTGTACATGAATGTCATGATGTAGAATATTAGCTAGATTATTTAGAAAACTGCATGTGTATAATATGTAATATCGTAATATCCATATATAAGTATCGTAAATGCGTTAGGATTTTCAAAACTTGTTGTTTAGAATGTTGTTTAAAAATCAATTCCGGATGATTTGTCGCATGTTCTATCGCAATCAGTAGATAAACGTAATATAAATATCGTGTTGTTATGAAAGACTGAAAGTGACAATTGCATCAGAATAGCCGAGATTATACGGGAAATTTTTTTAAGTTTTTGATGAAACCAACCAACTTTTGTGCTTATACACATTTAAATAATTTTTGTTAATCTACATAATACTATGATTTTGTATTTACAAAATTTGATTGGCTATTACTGCAGGTTAAATTAATCTAGGGTACTGACTGTGTGTGTGTGTGAATGAGAGTCATAAAAAGGAAGAAGAAGAAAGCGAAAGTAAGAACATCAATCCCGACCCGACTGTGATCCGCGATTCGTTGGAGTTTCGCCTTATCAGCTGACCCCCAGTAACTTATCATGAGCTATAATAAATTTAGGAGCCGTGTACATAATATAGCTCTGTTGAAACTGATGTCAATTGATGCTTTGCAATCGCCAAATACAACAGTTAATTCGATTCGAGTTAGTTTGTTTTTCGGCGATGTTATCGCTAATTTTTTAAAAAAAGGATCGTGTTCTTCGCATTGCAATAAGAAAGTACGTACACATAGTTGATAGTACGCGACTTACTAAATAAATTTATATTTTTTAGCTTGTTTTTTTTTATTAATATTACGTAATCCAATAAACAGTTTAATTATATTTTTTATCCATAACCCACTCGATAATTTTTCAGTTCTTTACTGCACGATGCAATGTGAGTTTTTTTTTGTGTTCCGGATTAATTTCGTCATTTTTACAAGTGTATAAGAGAGAAGAACTATTAAGTGATTTTTACATATACCTTTATCTTTAAAAAGTATTTACAAAGTATATATAATTATTAAAAAGATTATATATGAATATTATAATTAATTTATACAGCAGACAAAATGAGAGAAATATGCTTTTTAACATAAAAATTCAAAACTCTGGAACACAAGTGATATTTAAAAAAAATATGTTTTATTATTAAAGTTGAGATTCTAAACTACAAAAGAAAAAAGATTACATGAATGATCATTGTGTAAACATACACGCAGATCACATTTGGCATCTTCCGTTTTTGTCCCTTGTACGTTAATTTTTTTTCTAATTTCGTGAAAGATATCTCCGATAGGGTAATTAAATCTGATAATCTTTTTTAAGACAGAGCGCAACAAAAAATAAGTTTCCATTACAGCTATTTTAGCAGTTTCGGACTGCAAAATGTGATTAATCTATAATATATTTGATTATTTAAAATAATCTGAGAAAGGATAACGTAAGAGATATTTTATCACAGGTATTATCCTAATATAATTTACATTTATTTTTGTTATATTACTTTCTTATCTTATCTATACAATGCAGCGTTGTGTTTAACATTCGATTTTATGATCCAATTATATGCAAAGTTTTTGCTTCTAATATTTCAACAGAGCTGATTTATATATAGGAAGACATCCTCTCTAAAGATTTACTCTGATTTATTAGAGTGTAAAAAAATTTGTTTTGATGACTTTGGGCTTGATGGCTTTAGATTATGGTACAATATGATATAATATGGTATAATTACGATGGTGAAAACAATAACAATTTATTTGGAAAGTAATTCCACAAATTTAATTAGATAAGAATCAACTAACAATTTTATGATTTTTCAATTGAGAGACTGTTAACAAATTTTGTTAGTAACCAACATTCGTTGGGAAAATTTTAAAACTTCTGTCGAAAAATTCTGGCCAATAAAAAATTCAAGTTTGTTTACGATTACATGTAAAAAAAAAATAAACAGAAAACTATAGATCTTTCCTCCAATAAATAGAGATTTGGATTTGAGACAGTTAGTAACATTGCACGATGTAAAATTTAATTTTATTTATTAATAAACAGAAGGGATGATAATGAAATTTTTGACATGATAAGTAGTGCGTGTAGATAATTTAAAATTATGATAGGTAATACTAATTTATTTCGACGTTTTGGCTCTTCTTCGGGTCTTCAGATATATAATATAGTGAAAACCTTTCCTTGTGGTTAAGACGGAGGAACAGCTTTTTATCAATATATAATTTTATTTTATTTAATCTATCATAAATGTAAGTGAGTAAGTAATCGAATGAAATGTGTTTGATGAACATAGATAGTAAAGTATATGTTAGTTTAGAAATAAGTTGAAAAATGTAAACTATGTACCTGAATTAAAAATACTTTTTATAATTCTCCATTTCATACTTTTGAGTTGATTTATCAATACTATATTTAATAAATTAAATTCTGATTTAATAAAAAAAATTCATTATCATTTTTAATATTATAAATAGCAAACAAATTTAAATTTGTTAAATTTATAATTATAAAGTTGATATATTGGTATAATTATTCGGTATTATGACAAATTTGTTCTCTATAATTATAATAGATGGATCTATTATTTTTATATGAATGGATATTTTAATGTAGATCTTATTTATTTCTCTTGAAACGTGCTTTTATTTCTTGAAGTATTATTTTTTTGATAATATTTAAAAAAATGCCCCCAAGCGTGCGTTTATATATTCATTGAGATAAACTTGATCAGTTTATTCGTCAACTGAAATATTATTCTGATATTGTGCCGCGCTAGATTTCGCGCTTCACCGACGTCAACGTCGTTGTCGAAACAAATAACAATAATTGGACCACTTGTTCTGTAACGGGTTATCATCGTATACTCCTCCCTACTCTTGTCCTTGTACTGCGCAAGCACCCCGTGCGCCACAAATGTTACGTTCGCTGATTGGTCAATGCGCTTGTGCGTGTCCAAGATCATTGGTAGACTTATTCGCGCTCACATTTTTTTTGACTCGCGTTTGAACTCCTCTATAAAATAGTCTCACGAAAGTCACGCCAGGCACTTGTTGTAAGCGCGCGATATATATATATGTGACTTGATCGATTAGTCGCTTATTTGTTGTTTCTTTAGCTTTATTAATTGTCATTTTTCGATTGTAAGTGATTCTTATTCTTTTAATTTATTATTTGATTGAAAATGCCGTTTGCGAAAACTGTCAATGGTCACGATAGCTTCCCAGCTGTCAAACGGTTGGCTAATAACGACGTGCTGCAAACGAATGTAAAGGATGCACAAAATACGTAAGTTCCATTTAAATTATTTTTTATGAAACTTTTAATATATATCTTGGACTCACAAACTATTTAAAAAGACATTTAAAGAGATATATAGTTATGAATATAAAGGGATGTTTATTTGCAGAATCTTTTATATTAAAAGTTTTTAATACATGTATATGTAATTATGTATACATATACGTTCTTAGTATATTTTTACAATTTTGATAACATTTCGATGCCTGCTACAAAGAGTAGCACGTTTCATTTGTCCTCCACATCGTTGCGTCGAAGAATGTTTGTTTCCATTTTCGCCGCGCGATAATCAATATATTTGAGTTTTGACTTTCGAAAAGTAGCACATTTTATTTTATACCATGAATAATGATATGTTATGAATAATGATATGAGCGTTTTGTGACGAAAAGTAGCGTGCTTCTTTTTACACCACGAAAACTAACATGTTCCAACGTTTAATTTAGTCGCGAAAAGTAACGTATTTCACTTTATATCGCAAAAACTAATATGTTTGATGATTTGACTATGAAAAGTAGTCTGTTTCACTTTATACCGCAAAAAATAATATAGTTGTGGACTATCCTTCGTGAAAGGCCGATTTTTGTACTTGCCACGCTCCCCATACAGCACGAAGTCGATTATTAGTTGACTGTCTGTTGGCAGAAGAAGTCGACTTTAAAATCAGACTGAATGTCAACTTTTAGTCGACTAAGAGACGACAAATGTCTCGACTGTAGTCGGCCATCAGTCAGCCGATGTTCTCGAGTGACTTTAAGTCAATTTTAAATCAACTATAAGCAGACAATTGCGTAACCTTATTTCGATTACGTCGACTTTTAGCCAATATTATGTCGACTATAAGTCTACTTTTAGACAATCTAACTTTAATCTACATTTCTTACTAATTCTTATTCTAATTTTCACATTTCTCAAAAACTTGATTAATTTAATTCTATATATATATATATATATATATATATATAAATATGTTTTTTATAATTACATATATATTTTTGTTTTTGTGATATATATTTTTTATGATATATTTTATAATATTGTGTCATAGTTGGATTGGAAAGCGCGGAATCATACACTATATATTACACATATGTATATACGCTGATAGAAAGCATCCACTGATATTATATAGATAAACACACACATAAACGCAAAATAATTAATAAAGTACCTTACCTTTCAAAAGAAAATAAAGACAGTATAAATATAGCGGCTGGATAATGAGCAGGACTTGAAATGTGCAACGTAGATACATGCACATATACTAATAATAATAACGTTTTCACTAAACGTTCTTAGCAACTTTACGTTTACGGTATTTATATAATAGGGAGTTTTTGTAATACCGTTTACGTTATTTTTTTCTTCACACCTAATTAAGAAAAGGATAATGCGACTTTAGCGTTCACTGTATCTGGGATAAATGGTATTGCAAAAACTCCCTATTGAGACAATCTGGAAAAAATTGAGTTGTTCTAATAATTAATGAGATATACATATACACACACACACATATATATAAATAATTTATTATTAATTCCGCAATTCTTACAACGTAACCTCAAACCTTGCGATATACTTATAATTGTTTGAAATATATGAAGTGATGTATCAAAAAATATATTAATTAATGTATATATGGAATTATCTTTCCTTATTGTATTTTATATTTACTATAAATATATATATGAAAAGAAAAAAGGATTATCTTTGATTTTAATGCACGTTATTTAAATCAACCTGCAGATCATCAGAGGCAGTCAGAGAAAGGTCTCAATTAATTAAGGCCGGTACGTTTATAGGGTACGTTCGGAGAGCGCGAATGGCCGTCTATAAGTCAACTTACATGAAGTTAACAAATCCATTCTAGAAAAAGTCTACTAAATGTCAATTTTAAAAGTCGACTTCAAGCTGACGAAAAAATGTCGACTGACATTCAAGCGTGCTGTGTGGGCATCAGATGCGATTACCATAGTGTTCTTTGAAGGCTTTTTCTTCAACACCTTACTTTTCGTGATTAAATGTCTTTAAATGTTGGAACGCGTTATAGTTTTCGTGATATAAAAAGAAACGTGCTACTCTTTCAAACATATTTATTTTCGCGATATAAAATGAAACGCAAGTTACTTTTCGCGGTTAATTGCCTTTCAACGCTGGAAATGTGTTAGTTTTAGTAGAACGTATTAGTTAAAAAAGAAACGTGCTACTCTTCGCGTAATAGTAAAATGTTCAAACATATTAGTTTTCGCGAAATGAAGCGAAATATAATATGTTATTTTTCGAGACTAAATGCGACTAAACGCTGAAACGTATTAGTTCTCGTAACGAGGACCGAAACGTGATAATATTCGTCAATTAAATTATAACGTGCTTCTTTTCGCGGAATTATGTAATATATTGTTTTTCATAAGACAAATGAAACGTGCTACTCTTCGTAGCAGGCGTCGATTTAACCTTGAATATTTTTGTAACTAATTTGCAAATTAAAATTTTATTGAGTTTCCTTGAAATAAACTATAGATATATGAGTAAATTACTTAACAAATTTTTAATTTATACTTAAATCGTTTAGCGTAAAATAGTAAAAGAATTTATAAGCTAAAACGTATAAATGATATTTGCTATTGCTGGCTACTGATAATTACCAATATTGCAACATTAGTGGAGTCAATTCTATTTCCCAAATATAGTACAAATGAACGAAGTATTTCGTGTGCGGCGTGTTCGCGCTATGATTCAATATAATTTAAACAGGTAGAGCTCTGAAACGGGTACAAAACGATGCGGTTATATGCTAAACTATCGGCAAGCTCAAATAGTAGCAGATTTAAGCTAAATGCGTAACATAGGCTTCAGGGGTATTACAAATCATCGGGATAGGTATATGCGCGTATGCGAAATGCGTTCGTGCAGAATATACGTGGTGCTCAGGAAAAAGTTGTAATTCATTTCAAGGCTTTTACCTATGGATTAAACAATGGTATAGCAAAAACGTAAAATGTTACTCGAGAAGCAAAAAGATGTAGATATAGAAATATTGAAAATTATGTAAGAATTCTATACGTATATACATACATATACGTGCATTAATAAACAGTGTGTTATTCTACCGATCGACACTCAAATGTTTTAATCTATAATAAGATAGATTATTGTTAGTCTAAACAATTTAACAAAAGTTTTTTAAAGATTGATCTTTAATGCTGATTAAAAAGTAAAATGTTCCTATATATGTATTAGCCGAATAAAAAAAGTTGCTTTCGATCTGTTATATTTATTCTTGCTTTATTTCTTGCTAATTGATTATTTCTTGCATGTCGTACTAGAGCGTATATCCTTGTTCAAGGAGAAAATTAGATACGGATATAATCAATCCATTTACCTTGAACAACTACTATAGATAACGTGAATGACACATTATAGTTTGACTATTTTTTTTTTGTTGACGGTGATGCATTAAGCAGCCATTCGCTATGGTCAGGTATTGGAAAAATTTCCTCTGCAAACCACAAGTTTTACATTTTTAATAGTTTTTTATTTCATGTAACGTGGGTATATTTGCACACTAGAATTAAGGAGGCAGACTCTAAATGAGTTACATATATTCAACAAATAATAGCAATTGTGATAAAATAATATTATTATAAATGAAAGAGATTAATGACAAAAAGAACAGCAAAAAAAAAATAAAGTACATATAAACTTTACAGTATTAATTCTTTTGCTTTGTTTAAAGATAGACACAAAGAAATAGATACTTTTCAGTTAAAAAGAAATAGAATTTTTTTATAATATTGTAAGATGACGTATACAATATTTACACAAGTGTAAATAAACTAATGCAGATGTATTTATAATAAATATATTTTCGTCTGTACCTTCTTTTCTCTTTTGATATTTTAGTTACACTGTGTATGCCAGATTCACGCAAAATTCATCTATCGTGTATGCGCATACACGCGCGTAAATGTACATGCAAAATTTTCGTAAATTGAAGTGAACGAGCGCGCACATAATAACAACCAGTAATAATGTAATAACTCAAACATGTGGCCATTTGACCATTTTAATATGTTCGAAATTTCAAAATACAATATACATTACGAAAAGTTTTAGGATTCAAAGTACCACATCAAGTCTAATGCTCAATTTCTTCTCTAGATAATTTTTATCCGGAAGATATCTCCCAGAATACAATATGGAGATATCTCCTGGATTAAGTTATCTGTAACTTATCTGGAAGTGAAAAAATTGGGCATAAACGTTCAACCATTCAAATGTCAAAAAAGAAAAAATTTTAGATTGAAAAAATTTTAAAAAATAAACAAATTTACGAGAGGGAGAGAGAGAGAGAGAGAGAGCTTAATTTAAGAATTTATAAAATTAAGGAATTTCTTTTAAGACTCAAAAGGTTCGAAAAACTATGAAACTGTAGCATGAAATAATTTGAAAAGAGAATGGTAATAAAGTAAGACATATTTATTTATCTTAATCTCGCATGTATCATAATTACTGCAATAATACGCGCTGTACGTCACTCTTTCTTATAGTTTACATATTCATCTACTTGTATATAGAAACACACACACACACACACACACACACACACACACACACACACACACACACACACACACACACACACACAACATATTGTTCTCAAATGTATTTATAATTATATTAAAGTATATCAATCCAAATATATTAACAATATTATTGATAAAACAATAGATCAAAAATTTTTGTTGAGTTACATAGGATTTGTAAGAAATTCAATTTTTGCATAAGCTCTTCCTAAAATAAGTTATTTTTAATTTATTTACGGAAATATCATTATTGCGTTACACACGATTATTAAATGCACATTTGCATCGATAATAAATAAAATTTGTGTGCTCAGGGTCGTAATTACGTATACACGTTTGTGCGTACTGTTACATTCACTCTATTAATTCATTAAATTAATATTCGATTATTTCATAAATTAACTGTTATTGATTCTTGTTGCACGATGAAACTTGTTTCTCAATTTATTAATCTCGTTTTTTTATCTAGAATTGTATCCGGAAGGAAAATCAGATTTCTGTTTGAAACTTTTTTCTAAGGAATAATTAAGATGTATGAGATATAAATGTATACAATAGTATAATGTAAATGAAAAATTCAAATCTCATTTTAATTTAAAATGATTGTTATAATCTGCGTAGTATTTACGTAACAAGTTGAGAAACAAGTTTTGTCGTATTAGATAAGAATCAATATCAATTGATCTATGAAAATTAATAGAGTGAATGGAACAATATTCACGAACGTGTATAATTTGTGTGCCCTGAGAACACTAATTTTATTCAGTCAATCGCTTATAACCTGATGCAAAAATAATATATTTCTGTATAAGGTTTCAAGTATAATTAATTTTTCCCTCTTCTCCTCTCCCTCTCTGAGGAACGCAAATAACTGATTTTGAAAAACTTATGCGAAAATTAAAATGATAATAAAATGTTTATTACAAATCTTGTATAACTCAATAAGAAATTTTGATCGATTGTTTCATTAATAATACCGTATATTTGCATTATTACAATTTTAATATAGTTATAAATATATTCGAAAAGAATTTTTTATGTATCACATATTACGTGTATATTTATATACGTATATAGAAGTGAATAGATGGAAGAGTGTGTACATGTGAACTAACAAGTAAGAAGAAATGACGCGTGTTGCTTTCTATTGCAGTAATATATTATGATAAAACATTATATAAACTTTCATCATATCGACTAATCGTATTTATATATTCCATGTATTCAATTGCAATATATTCAACTTTTGAAACTATATATCGTACGAATTATCCATCGTAATGGTTGGTCTCCATAGTTGTCATTATCGCAAAGCCTATGGTACGCAATTACATGCAATTATGATGGAACGTTTAATATAGCTGCGCGATCGTGTAAGCTAAAGCAACGGGTACGACGGCCGCTTAATCAGTACCAATCTGTTGAGTAGTGTGCTTTAATATGTCTCTGTGATATCGGTGCTGAGAGAAGGCGACTGCGGCGCCATGTTCGCGGGAGAGTTACTTCGTAACCCCATTATCTTCCAGCTTGTCTATAGGTTGATTTATAATACTGGTTGATTTAAAAGAGCAAAGATCAAAAGTTGAAAAAACTGAATATTAGACAGTTAGCGAAACTATGATATGTACGTTTCGACATTTCGTTTATAATTTTATCGATTGTATAGAAGTAATATAATAAAGATTGCATAGAAATGTTCATATTTTGAATTATTCGGAATTGAACAGATATTCATGTTGAATATTTCTAAATGTGTTCATATTTTATTATAAAGCTATTATACTTTTTACTACTTCAAAAATTTAAAGCTTTAAAAAACTTGAATTTTTAAAATAACTCTGAACTTTCCAAGTTTAAGGTGCCGTTAAAGCTACGAAACTTTAAAAAATATATTTACATTTTTCAAGTATAGTATATATATTCAAAAATATATTTATATATTCTTTATGAAAATATATCTGTTACTATTAGCTATATTAAATTAATAGTTGTATAATTAATGCTTCAAACCTTTGAAGATTAAAGTATCGAAGTTTCAAAATTTTAAAGTTTTAAAGGTTCGAAACTTCGAAACTTAGATCGAAAGAATTTAGTACTAATACTTTTTCAATTTCGAATTAGAGCTTTTGAAGCAAATCACCAATCCTAATATTTATTGTATTAAATATAACATACACATTATTGTTTCAGGTACACCTTTGAAACATTACAGGAATCAGCACAATATTTATTGAACCGCATCAAGATTAAACCAAAAATAGGGATTATATGCGGTTCAGGAATGGGTTAGTAGTATTGCATCTTTTCTTGTACTATATGTATATATACCCGATTTGTTTATAATTGGAATGTTAAATATATTATATTTATTTATTCATCACTGACGTGTATATAAATCTCGGCACAATTAATTAATGATATATTGCAAAATCAATAATTGCATAATCACTATCGTCAATATACATGATTCTTTGTGAATTTAAGTATTTGAAAATTTATAAATCTTAAAGGGAACTATTGGAACTGCCCCTCACCGATTTTGATGAGCTTTGGATATGTTGTAGAGTATAAACAATAATATTAGATCCATATTTTTTTATCAGCGTATCTTAAGATTTAAGGGGTAAAACACTGCCAAAAAGAAAGGTTTTTATCGTATTTGGCAAATATCTTCGAAACTATGCGATATATAAAAAAATATTTAATACATAAAAATTTTATGATATTTTATGCTCTATATGGTGTATTCATTTTTTTAATATCAATTTTTTTAACTTTCTCCTACTCCCACTTAATCATTCGATCGTATTGTGCGTATTTTATATATTACACAAAAAATATATTTCATTCTGAAAATATACTTTTGAAACTCTGGCACAAATTGCGACATTGTAGAACGTTTATTGCATGATATTATTACCTGATTTTTCCAAAAATTGAATCGTGAAAACATAACATTATTGTACATGAATAAATTCGGCATTCAGTGCTCTTTAATTTTTGTTCATATAAAATTTTTTAATTTTGCAAAATTAATGAGTGAGGATGGGAAAAGATAAAAAATTTGATATTAAAAAAAGTGAATACACTATTATACAGAGTACAGAATACCATAAAACTGCAGTTGTATTAAATATTTTTTTATATATTGCATAGTTTTGAAGATATTTGCAAAAACGATAAAATCTAATTTTTTAAGGAGTGTTCCACCCTTTAAACCTTAAGATACACTGATAAAATAAATATAGGTCTAATATTTTTTTTATACTCTATAACATATTCAAAGTCCATAAAAATCAATAAGGAACAATTCCAACGGTTCCCGTTAGATGATTGTTTTAAATTTAATTGATATATTGTCGTTCACGTTTATCTTTTCGCTGTAGTAACGATGTGAAATATATAATGAAATAGTTTTGGTAAAAGAAATTATAATTGATTTGACAATTATTCCAGAATCTTTCTATAAAAATCACAAGAATAACGCAATATATTCTAACTTTATATTTAATTTTTTCTTTAATATGCTATTTAATACATGAGAGAGAAGCTAATTTATTTAAAGTTTGTGCCTATAGATTTTGTAGTTAAATCGTAATAAATGACTTTGAAATGTAGTGTCTTTTTGACGTTTTTTGTATACGCTATTGTTTGTACAATATCTTTTGAACATTATTACTATAAAAAATTAATAATATGTCTGCTTAATTATGATTCCACGCTTATGCTAATATGTAGGCATGTGTTGTGTATACTTTGTGTCTTGATTTTACGATAAAATATCTCTTGATTATTGATTAAACTGCATGTGCCATCCGACACGTTAAATCACAGCTAGTTTTAATCCTGTTTGATTTGCGTAATATTTAACTTGTAATTGTTTTAAGAAAGTAAATTTGCACAATTAAAGTGCAAATAGCCATATTTGCAGATTATACAAACGATTGTACGCATTATTGTACGCGCGTGTGCATTATATAATAATAAAGTTATTATAAAGTACTTGAAATTTCTCACAACCAAATTAACTTATTTTTTTTCATGAATGATTATAGTTTCAAAAAAGAGAAAAGGAATAATTTATGTCATTTACGAGATATATTAAAAGATCTTCATAGATTGAATACCATAAGATAACACAATATTAGTTAACGTTTGTACTATTTTTGGGATAATTTAAAAAGAGTAGAAATAATTTTTTCAAAATTTTCCTAATAATGTCTAATATATAGTAATAATTTTTCTATATACAATAAGGTTTTCGAAAAGATGTGATTGAAGATAATTAAGATGGGTTAACAACAGTTTATATAAATGTGTGTAAGTTGCTTCAAACAATGCTAAACGGCTTTGCGGGATTTCCGGGTGACGGTTTATCCTATCATAGCTTTGTTTATTCCTAAACAGGATCATATGAGCAAAACGAGTTGTGTCCAGGTTCGATCGCGGAATCCCTCGTGGACAAGCAATGCTTCCCCTATGAAGAAATCCCACATTTTCCGGTATCGACGGTAAAAGGACATACTGGTCAGATGGTCTTTGGTTATCTTCAAGGTGTACCAGTTATGTGCATGCAAGGCAGATTCCATTATTACGAAGGTTATCCACTTTGGAAGGTATAATTGGCTTCTGTAATTACAATACACGGTCCGATCTCGGGAGTCTAATCATGTGACTGACTTAATACCCGAGACACTACCGTGCCTCCTGTGATCTCATATTCTAGATAAAAACAAATGTAAAATATGGTTATTGAGAGTGATATTTGTAGTGTGCCATGCCAGTAAGAGTGATGAAGCTGGTAGGTGTGACACATTTAATTGCTACGAATGCGGCCGGTGGTCTAAATCCCACCTATAAAGTAGGTGATATCATGATAGTGAAAGATCATGTGAATATGATGGGTTTTGCTGGCAATAATCCGCTTCAAGGACCAAATGATGATAGGTGGGATTAGAGCTCTATGCAAATTTCTTTGTCAATATATGTGTACAATATACGCACTTAAATTAATATAATGTTTTTATCTACAACGAATCGGAAATATGAATTACTTCTTTTTTAAGAAAGACAAAAATAAAATAAAATAAACGTCTAAAATGTTTATATTTGGAGAATAAAAATCAAGAATTTTACTTTATCCAATTATTATTCATTTATTATTTATTATTAATTTAAGAGTCCTTTGTTTTAGCACATTTGTTTCTATTCTCAGGTTTGGGCCTCGATTTCCGCCTATGAATAAAGCCTATAATCCCACGCTCATGGAAATCGGTAAACAAGTAGCTGAAGAGATGGGTATTGGCGATATTGTACATAAGGGAGTTTATACGTGTTTGGGTGGACCTAATTTCGAAACAGTGGCAGAATTGAAAATGTTGCGAATGATCGGCGTCGATGCAGTTGGTATGCCTTTTTCTTTTTTAGTCAAGCGTATTAAACGCATTATTTGCTTATTAATTAATGTTTATCATCGCTGATACTATAATCTATTTATTTTTAAATTATTTACAAGGGAAAAATATATTTGTTTGTTATTTTATGAATATATTAAATAACAAATACGCGCCGATTTATAAAAACGTTTAAGAACTTATCTACGTTTATTTTCATTACATCTTATGTATATCTAATAATTTAAATTAATCGCGCAATGTACTAAGTGTTAAAAGTGATTTTTTTTATTTTTGATAAGCCGATCTATCTATTATATAATATTTCAAGGAAGTTACAGTTTTAGCTAATTCCTATTTACAATCTTTACTATAATATCATTGGACTGTACTAATAATAGCTAAAAGCTCTTTTTTTTACCAAATTTTACAGAAAAGTATTAAAATGTATCTCGAGGTATTTATTGTCTTGATACGAAAGTAAGCTATTTATAACTATTTATAAAAGATCGTAAAAATGCTAATATTTATAGAAAATGTAGATAATAGTAATCTCATCAAATACCAACTACTTAACAACATCGTAACAGTTTAATTATAATTCCCCATTTAATGGCAATGTATAATTTTATATGTATAACTGTAATATAACATAATACTTAGAAAACACAAAATATAATAATTATATAACGTCATGTAACAGTTATACATATAGCAATTATATGTATATGTAAATATTATACTGTATTCTGTATTTGCTGGGCAGTTATTTGCATTGTCGAGTGGAAAATTGCAACTAATATTACAATATATATGTATATTATATATGTATATTACTGTTATTAATTGATCTGTTCGCTGAAATATTTTACTTTAGAATTCTAAATTTGCAGTTGTCTATTGGGGACAAAGTGAATTTTGTTGAAAATATGTATTATATATACATATATATATATATATATATATATATATTTATTTAAATGGAAAAGTATAGAATTGAACCGATTTTCTTCTGTCGTTATATACATTTAATTGCGTACTATAAGCAATCTAATAGAAATATCAATAATTGTCAATACAATACAAAATTCTAATAAATATTAATTTAGTTTTAGTAGACGTCATAATGATGTTTGACTTCATAAATGCTGATTCACAGATAAGCAATTAAATTTTTGTTTTTGCCAGTAGCTTGTACGAGAGATTTAACTTGTTTTGCAATATATTATGCATCCATTTATCTATATGACGTCGTGATGGCGTAATTAAATAGATAGAATAGACTGAATGTGAAATATGCGGAAGATAATGACCTCATGACGAAGTTAATTTTTTTACATAAGTATTGAACAGTTTTAAAAACGGGGTTTTAAAAATACATTATACATCCTATACTTTTAAAATAACAAAAATTATGAAAATTTTATAGATTTATTTTGAATCGTAGTTGTATGTGTATAGTAATATTGAATGCATATATTCTTATTTTAAATATATATATAATAAATAATTATTAATAATTAAAAAAAGATAAATAATTCATTACATGATAACAATTAGATGATAGTGACTGCTATTAGTTTTGTCATATTGGTAAACGGTTGCATTCTATCTTATCTACAATTATAGAGATTATTTTTATCGTCTTTCTTTCACTCTTTTTACACTTTATTTTTCTTTGCATTACGAACTACATTTACGTTTAAATTATACTTGTTTACATTACATATTTTTTCTCTGTATATAGACATGTATATACTGCAGATAGTTTCATGTATAGTAATATATATGATTATTATTTAGGTATGTCTACGGTTCATGAGGTGATCACCGCTCGGCATTGCGATCTGACCGTGTTCACGTTCAGCTTAATCACTAACCAATGTGTTACTGATTACGAAGATCACTACGAAGCAAACCATGAAGAAGTGATGGACGTTGGCAAAGCACGACAGCCGATTCTTCAAGAATTTGTGTCCAGAATTGTGATACGTCTCAGAGATATTCTGCAATTGACGACAAAATAATTCATTTTTTATGCTGATCAAGATACTTAATTCACTTTTTTACTACAGAGAATCTCGAATTTTGTTGAGTTATTTGTTTCAGTTTTCATATTTGAACAAAATTTCAAACAGTTTTGTTTATTAATTAAAAATTGATTGAAAAGTTGATAGCACAAAAATTATAATGTTTCAATTTCAATATGATATTTCTCAATGTAAGATTGTTTTGAATTATTTTTTCGTTAATCCTTTCTTATAACTGTATCATAATCATTAAGTGTGGAGAGATTTAACGAGCGCAGCTTGATTGACAGGCCAATTCTTGAATCCTCGTTATCCCCATTGCAATTTCTTATCTATATAGTTAGTGTCTTGGTTCTACTTATCTGAATTCAGGCTCGATTCAGATCTCAATTGATTCGTTATCGCGTCTTGAGAGGCCTTGTTGGAGAAGGAAATGAGGAAGGGGGAAGGAAGAGGAGCCGTGAGAAGGAGGACTTAAAGACGGAGGGTTAGTCAGCGTTTCCTCTCGATTTCCACCCTCGTTTTGTTACCCTCATCTCGTTTCCGTACTCTTCTATCGGACTAATGCATCGTCATTCGGCTCCGATAAATCTCGAAGACCATACGGCACGGGAATACTGAATTACATTATGATTTGTTAAGCGGAAAAATTGCGTGTTGATGTGATACGATTGCCACACGAGCATCTTTTCTATATTCTCTAGAATTTTTGAAATTCTTGTGTATTTCCAAATAATAATTATTTTAATATATAATATAATATTATTCTAGAATTACTATTTTCAAGAAAACATCAAAATAAAAAGATGTTAGAGAGTTAAAATATTTCTATATTGTAAATTTACGTATTTGTATGTAAGATACGAAAAGATAAATGGAAAATAGTAAGATATAAAGGTAATTAAAAGATGTGTAAATATGTATATCGCTGTAAGTAAAATGATATAAAGTAATGAATATAATTCGCTATAATGATAATAATTTATAAATTCTAGAGATCAAAATTATACATAATAATAAATTATCCACGATAAAGTAAAAATTATAAAAATAACTCTTCACTTTTACATATAACATGTGACGAAAAATTTTATTTTTATTTAAAGCGTCGTTTGCAGATGTCTTGCGTAAATTACGTGTTAATTAGAACAATTACACTTTAATTACGTTATATTTTAATCGTCATAATCTTAAATATTAGCAATTAATGTATTTTCGGTAATTTTTAATAAGCATTATATCCTGTTCTAAATATATAATATGTATTTAGATACATACACATATATTTACATATATGTGTTTATATTATATGCACAATATACCCTATCACTAAAAAGTTTCATTTATACGTTTAGCACTAACAATTTTATTTTTTATTTATAAAATATAAAATTATGATGTAATATCATCTTTTATTTGCAATCATGGGTTCAATTGAGTCGTAAATTTCGTCGAAAAATAATTATAAATATAGAAATTATAATTAAATTTCTCATGTATCTAAACAAATACCACGTATAACGATTGAAAAAAATATCAATTTTGAATGTTACGCTATACACCAATAAATATTTGGAAATTATGATGATTGCCAATAAGACAATAGGAACAATATATATAATTAAAAGAAAATTAAGCTTGAAAGGTAAAAAGTCTGAGAAAAAAAATAAGTTTTTAAAATTTTGCTTTAAAATATATAATAATAAAATAAAAGAAGTAATTCATGCAAACAGTATTCAATATTTTATTTTTTATATTACGGAAATTTCCATAAATGGAGAATGTATTACTGTAACTTTTAAGAAATAGGCTGTAATATTGGAAATTTTACATACTATTTGTATACACATATTTTATATTTTGTATATGTATGTATATAATATAGTTATATTAATATAATTAACGTATCATAGACTAATTACTCGTAAAATAATTATATGATAAGACAGTGGTCAATATTTGTAGTCGGCTTTTATTCTTAAATCGTCTAAAGTAGTGCTTTAATATGTCAACACAGCTTTGTCACTAGCTCTTATAAGATATACTTATAACAATTTTAAATATTATATAAAAGATAAATTAAGAATATTATTAATTCTATTATGCGTTATTTTAAATTTCTGTAAACTATATGTACTAAATTATATTGTTAATTAATTTAATAGTTATTCGTAATAAATACATGTTTTAACTTAATTACCATTTTTTATAATATATATCTGTTTTTACTTCGCGTTTTTAATGTAATATTTTTCCAGTATATTTAATATTAGTTATACAATATATACGACATCATTATTTATAATTTTACTTATACAGCTATTATGCAATAAATATTGCATAGAGAATGTTGTAAGAAAAAAATTTTCTTTGTTAATTGATTGAGAAATAATCGAAGGGGAGTTTATTGTGTATAGGTATAAGATGTAGTTGCAATGAAACTAGGATACAGTAATAGTGTTACATTAGAACCGCATCGTAACTAAATCGACGTCTATAAGTAGTATAATATATATACATACATATATCGTATAAAGTAATTGTTGTCTATGGATCAATCGAATGAGATCCATATATATGTCTGGAGTAATATAATTATACTACGTATTTTGTGTATTGCATGCATTTTATCTGTAGAATGTATATTTAACTGTATTATATATATATATATGTGTGTGTGTATACCTGCTTTATATATTTCGTAACTGTAGTGTATCAACAAAACATTTCATTAACCAAAAAAGTATAACGTTATTGCATATATGTATATATTTTTGTAAAAACATTTCACATTGAAATGTATGTATTATTAAGTTAATATCTTGATAATAATTAATGTGCTAAAATATGAAAGGTGACAATATATATGAAAGGTAGAATAGTATTCATCCTCTTAACGAAGATTAAGAATCCAATTTTTTTATCAAATCAAATTTTAATTAAAATGCAAATTAACAAAATATTATGATTAGATGTATTATATGTATTTTTTTAACAACATGAAAGATTATATGAAAAATTATAGATTTTTCTATATTGTATTTGAAAGTGATATAAGTTTAGTTTGGCGATAATTTAAAATCTGAATTAAAAATTATTTATTTATAATTGTAAGCAAGTTGTAGATGTTGTTTAAAAAAACTAATAAGAGAAAATTTTTATTTCAACTAAAAATTGTCTTATTAAACATAAATTGCAAATGACTTATTTGTAATAGTAAAGAAAAACATAATTGATAAATCGCGATTTGTGAAAATACGTGAAAATAAAAGAAAATGATGTCATCGGTATTCGGTTGAAACGGGCTCTACCATACGTTTGAAAAATGTTCTGATTTTAATTCGATGCGGGAAGAGCTCCTCCGATATATGTATACGCATTTGTCTCGTATGGTGCGCGTCGATAAAGTAGAAATTCGCGCATTTTCCGCGCAAAGTGGCGTGAAGTGCGCCGCTATTGGCCGCTATCGAGTTACCCTCGCTATTTCTCTTATGATCACACGACGTCATCGTATAGCGCACTTCTCCCAACTTCTACTGTTCACCACCTACCAACCTACCCTACCCTACCACCAGTACCACCACCTACATCCTGGGATGGATCGTACCGCAGGCTACTAACGTAGTGCTGCAGACAGAGATGAAGAGAGAGAGAGAGAGATGGGGGGGGGGGGGGGGGGGGGGGGGGGGGCTGGTTGGTTGGTCCGACAGGCGGCGGGCGGCGCATGAACTGCGTTGGTAGCTTGGTAAGCTCAGTTCAGTACGTTCGGTGCTGTCGCGGAGTGAGGTTAGGTGATATCGTGATTTTATGTGACTCGCGCTATCGATATGGTCGCTCCTCGCGAAGCGTCGTCTGCGTTGTGCGTCTCGTATCGCGTCGATTGTTTGGATCTCGACGGCGTTGGAAATTCAAACGCGAATTTTCCAAGGTTTGCGGCGTGAAATTTGTCGTGAATCGCGCAGTGCGTGTCCTTTGAAATTCGGTTCGTCGTGTTTCTCTGCCGAGACGCTCACTGTACGGCGACGATCGATGCGTGTATCTTCGTCTAAGTATAAATCAATCGCAGCGTGCACTTTTGAAAAGTCACTCGACAAGTTGCTCGTGATTTCTAAAAATTAGTGATCATTCTGCAATCCAAAAGGAATCGGCTGTCATTTTTAAAAGTTGATTGTGCCAACATAATCTATACGTCATTGTGGGAAACAAGTGGAGTTTGCTAAACTGAAAACTTGAATCGAGAAACCGCTATTACAGATTACAGCTTTTATCAATACATTATTTGTATAAGGTGTAATTCGATCGCATATACAGTAGATACAGAAAATTGGAACTGCCACTTGGAATTACCAATCGCGGTAATAACTATATAAAGAGAAAGGAAGAGAAGGAGTGTGTCTACACAATTCTAACAAGTCAAAAACTCAACAGTGCTCCATATTGCAAAACTGGGACGTTGAAAAAATTTCAACAAATCAGTAGCAGCTATCCTACCTTTGAACTCAATCTGATATCATTTAGAGATCTCTGGAGTATTCCAAGCTGATAGTCAGCGAATTACTCCAAAAATCCAAGGATCAAAAATTCGCTATATGGGCATTTGAGAATTAAACAAATTTCTTTAATCTCTTGAAATTCACACCAATTTATTCGAAAATCCATTCGTTCGGTAGAGCATTTAATCAAAAGTCGGAGCATTTGTTTGAGATGATTCATCATCAATATGTTCTCGTAGAAGGAGTTTGCTCTCGCAAGCGAAAGTGAACGGAGAGAAGACTACAGGCGCACCATCGAGAGTGAAACGTGTTTGATCTGCGAGAGTAGGTATCCATTTGTGGACGAGACAACGAATCGACTGGTCCATATTCAGTACCCTACAGACGGCTACTTCCTCCCGTTTTAACATTGGCGGACAGGTGACACTTGCTTATCTCGAGTTTTCGATGCATAGATTGAACTGTTCGTAGATCAGGCGATCACACGTCGATCTCTCGTTTCTCTCGGAAAGACAGATAGGGTGATCGCGCGGGATAGGACTGATCGCTGAAGAAACGATAAAACATGTCGAGGCTGCTGAAAGGAGAGCCGACAGGCGGTTGTGTGATTGGCTCGTGCGCAGATCGAGGATCGTATTAGCCCAACTGGCAGTGACGCATGTCGTAAGCCACGTGAGAGAGTAACGGAGGAACGACACGCTGGACATTACGCAGGATCGGCACTTACGGGGAGAGAGAGAGTACCAGCGAGGAAAATAAAGAGACAGATAAACAGTTAATAGATAGAGAAAGAAAGGATAGCTGCGGTAAAAGCTATTCTGTGAGAGAAAGAGAGAGAAAGACGAGCTTCTTATTGCCCACCGGAAGTCATATGCCCATACACGCGCGTAAAACGGTAAATAATTATTTATATATGTACACAATAATATTATTTTGTCTTACCTATTGTCTAGTTCTCTATAGAATCTTATGGTACGGATTTTAAATGCTTTTAAATGCAAAAATGTTTCATAATTTTGAAGATTTTTTTTCCAACTTTTCTTTTGCTATAAGACTTTCATATACGAAGTAATGAAATAACGAAATAATAAATATCTTGATGTAAAGAAAGTTATATTGTAACACTAAAATAAATTAAAAAAAATTTATTTTACTAGTGTATAAAATATCATATCTGTATTATATAAAAGTAGGGTTATTAATCGATTCTATTATGTTGCTCAACACTTTAATAAAAAATCACGAGAAGTTTGTCAAAATAGATATATATATTGTAATATGAACACTAGCTGTTTACTATTGGAAAAACATGGAATTTTCAGCATTTTCGTGGAATTTTATCGGAAAATTTTTAAAATTTTACTTTTATGTTTAAATTCTATTTGTTTCTGAAAACATTGTTTCTTTTATCATTTTTCTTGATAATGCAAAACGTTGACAATCAGCAATAAGTAAGATTCTATGTAAATCTCATGTGTTTTTAAATTAAATAAAAACCAGAATAATAATAGAAGACGATACTCACAATCAGTAGAATAAGATAGTTCACTGATACTATACTTTATAATAAGCTTTCACTAATTTATTTCCTCTCTCCTCTACACTATCCTATAAATTTCGTAGCTCCACAATTGCAGAAAATGATATAGTTTCGTGGAAACTTTACCTCTTCTATCAATTTTTAATATATAGTTTATTTTCGTTACTTGCACTCTAATTTATTTTAAAGTTATATCAGAAGATTTTCTAATCTTATCTGTCATTTTGTACAAAGATACTTTTTTACAATTACAAAAAAATATCCTGGAATTTTCAGGAAATTCTTTTACAACATGTATGAAACATAAATGATTGAACTTTTGATATTCTTATCTAAATATTTTTCTTTGTAGAATAGGTGTGTATTAATCAATTTATTCATGTAAAAGAAATTAATGATTCCATTTAAAAAATTTCGAGATAATCTTGATCTGATAATGTTTTTTCTACATGAAATTTTATAGATATAACATTTTTTCCTCCTGCAACATTAATTAAACAATGAAAAATTTCTTCTATGTTTTTAAGTTAAAATATTAGAAATTCGTATCTAACAAAGAAACATCTCGAAATGTTAAATTTTAATTAAACTTTGTATAAATGTAGGTTATACATATATAGAATAGGTTAATAAATAGGTGAATTTAGAAAATATTTTAATTATGACTAATAAACGATTTTAAGGGATGAAATCACTTTTTGTATGTATTTAGTAGTTTTCAGCTCTTTCTATTACATTTGAAAAACTATTCAAGATGTCAAAAAATGTTTTATATGAAAGTTTTAATAATAAAATTATTTTCATTTATATATATTGAAAAACATTTTTACAAAATATTATTAAGCAGATAAATAGAGATGATTTACTATAAAGCTTTTACATAATACATTTTCTTATATTAATTGATAAGTTTGTAGAATGTAACAAGAAAGAAAACACTGAAAACTGCTTTATACATTAAGTTAAGTTTCTCTTTTAAAAACCTTTGACCACAAAAAAAATATTGCTTTATGTAAAACATTTTGCATGTAATATTGATTATTTATGTATGTTTATATTCCGGGTTTGACATAACAATTAAAAAATAAATTAAATAAAACAAGTAAGTTTAAAAAAAAAAAAGCGTTAGGTTCAAAAACAATATCTTATACTGAAGAGCGGCTAATTAAGAGGTAATTTGCCTGATATGGAAAAGAATAGCTTTGATAACGTGTGATATACGAAATTGGGTAAAAATGAATTAGCGGTGAGAGTGGGGGTCAATTCAGTGAAATCATTCGTGAAACATGACTGGATTTCATGTACGAGTTACATGGATGACATGTATCGCAAAGGCGAGAAGAACAAAAGAACGCAGGGTAGAAAAGTGTGTGGATTATTCACGTAGCTATAAATAAACCACCGGGTAGACGGAGATTGTACTGAATGGCATAATTGAATTAGAGTGGAGACGAGTACCACGTAAAACCGGTCGGCATTCGCTGTTAGTAGTAACGATGGTACTGAATGCTTGCTGAAAAGAACAATACGTGGTGTAGTGAAAAACACGCTGCAAAAATTTAGAAAAAAATCACGTATTAAAACATAAATGTATTATGTTTTCAAAATCTAATACATGATAAAATTTATCGTTATCATATTTTTTTATTATTTAGTTGCAACTTAAAAAAAATAAGTATTTAATCTTTCCGCGAAAAATATGATTTTGTTACTAGAAAAGTGTGTATTTCATAACACAGAAAATTTAGAATTTTTTAAAAATATTTTTACAGAAATATTATTTTGTTAAATTTGTCACAAATCTATGTAACTTTTAGCATTGATCTGTATATACAATCAGAATGTCTTTTTGTAAGAGCTCTTTCTCTTCTGTAAATTATTCACATAAACGATGATAAGAAAAGTATACATATATATGGAAAAAATCGTTTAATGTTTAAATGATATACTTTTTTGTAATTTTTTTATTACTATTTTTTAAATTATTATTGTTGAACTATTGCGTATAGCTAAAATATATATGGTTTAAAAATGGTACACGATAAAAGAGTAAAATTTACATAAACATTGAGTCTGAAAATACTTTCTTTTTGCATCGTAGCGCACTGTTGAGACTACATTAACTGCTATATGAAAATCGAATATGACACGCGGGCTATAATAATACAGAAATGCTTGTTTAAATATTTTTGTAGAATTTCTAAATGTTTTCTAAATTGTGTTTAAAATGTTATATACGTAATCGGTTATACTTGTTCCCCGTATAGTTATGCATTCTTTAGATAGAAACTTTTCTTTCAGTTAAAGTATTTTATACTTTTTTATTTAGACGCGCAAAATCTTGTTGAATTATCTTACTGTTAATTTTTTATTCATTGAAAGCGTAAGCGTAAGCAAATTATATAATAAGAAGTGATATGATTAAAATAGAATACAAACTATGTTTAAAATTTTTATGTTTTTCAAATTGAGTGTCTAATTCACGCTACTGATGAGAGTATTTATTAATATTACCTTTTTATATTACGAAATATCCGCTTATATCATAAGACTGCTGAGACACAGTGATAAAAATTTGCGTGAATATTAAAAAAAATTCAGATGTATTTTCTATGAAGAATAACCTTTATCTTGGTAAAATGTAGGTACATCATACTGCAGCATGTATATGGCACTGTCAAGCCCTTTGAAAAAACCAATAACCTCAGCGTGCGTCGGATACTAGTAGTTTATGGCCACTGACTGAGTGCGCGTGTGCGAGAATAAGAGGAAGAGAAGAACAGAGAAAAAGAACGTTAGATTGGGGATGTGAAACACTGAAAATGCGAATAAAAAGAGATAGGAGAAAAAAAGAAGATGTGTTTGAATGGAAATATTGCTTAACATTTGTGTTTATTTTTAGTGTGTGTACTTATTGTAACGACTCCCATGCAGAGAGGATCGAAATCATATACATAGAATAATAGATTAACAACTACCTGTAGACAGATAAGATAAGCTTTTCTTTGCTTTTGTTTTGTTGAATGTATAGAAATATTTCATTGACAAAAATTAATGAAATTAATGAATTTTATTTATTATCTGGAGGATATACCTAATTATCTATGGTATATCATATACATAATAATAAATTATTAAGAGAAAGGGGACAAATATGAAACCTTATAAATATCTCTTTTATTAATAATAATAATTCAGCACATCTTATTTAATATTGTACCAATTAAATGAATTAAATTAAAATTACAAGAATAATTGTAATAATATTATGAATAAGTTAATTCGTAATATAAAAGTTAAAAAATGTTCAAAGCTCTATACTAAACACTAATTGAATTGGATTGTTACTTAATAATATTAAAAATGGGAATTTCTATGCAAATAAGGATTAAAGAGAGACGAACTAGAAATAACGGAATTCGTTTTTAATTGTATAATTTTAAACAACTTCTACTTTATATCTCGAATAATTTGAGCAACTGAAAGACCTCACACTTTTGCTCTTCATTTTTGCATTGTTGTTTATTTCTGCGATATAATGCATGCACGTGCGTAATGCATTTTCCAATTACTCGACATCGAATCGAAGTTTTCCAAACCTTCTATCCTACTCCTTCTCTTTACGCTCTTTCCACACGCATGGGCACACAGTTGGTCGCATTCGTATTCCTGCACGTATATCGACTGAAACGACCGAGCGATGTCTGTTTCCGCATTTTAATACTTTGTGTGGATCAATTTTGTTAAAATGGCGCCTGCGCTGCCTAGTGCTCCCTGAGCAACTCCCTTTTTACACTTTTTATTCGCACTGTTAAAAGCCTGTTTACGTGTTATATTGCCAAATATTTTGTCAACGGCTTTTAGGAAGGATAACATTAGTGCAACTTAATTATTTTGTAAAACGTGTCAAGAATTTATTGGACGTTCAGAATTCTACATAATAAAAATTTAATATTTTTAGATTCTTTATAAAAGCAAAATTAAAATCTTTGAATATACAATTGAAAATATAATATTGCTATTAAATACTTTTAAATTATAATTCAAGATATGTATACATATACTTATATATATATATATATACTATTTATCGATAGATCAATATTATTAAATATCTTGAAAAATATACTATTGATAAAAAAGAATTGTAATTGTTTTTTTTTGTTATAATAATAAATTTATATAAATGCAGCATAACATTTTTTGTAAAAAAGAAAATTTTAATAGAATTTGTTTCTACTTGTTTACATTGCTGTTTGTTTTATTTTTTAAAATTTTTTTAATTTGTTTTTTAAAGAATATAAAATATCGGTATAAGAATATAAAATATCAATTAAAATATCAAATAGTTCAATTTTATTAATTGCAGTAGATATCTGTTACATACAAAAATTAAAAAAAACTATAATTTTTAGTAATTATTAAATATCAATACTTTCTTTATATTTATGATAGAATAAATTCTAAAGTATATTTTGAAAGCATATTAAATTGAAGAAAAGAAATTGAAGAAACATTGTAATATTAACGTCAACAGAGTAGCTAATTTGCATGCACGCACGTACGCACACATACACACATATAGGAAAGCGTTTGATTATTTTTTTAACTTTAAATTTATTTTATGAGCGATTGCATTCGAAACTAAGAAATTTTTGTAACATATATCGATTTTAGATATTTTAAATTATATAATATATATCTTTATATGTATATTATACTTATATTATAAATACATTATTTCCATTAAGTTTTAAAGTGTACGGAAGTATTATTTTTTTTCTGTAATATTTTAGTTCGTAAAATATCTTTAGCTTCGTGATACTGAAACCATGCGTAGTGATACACGATGCCTTTCAAAGTTTGTGTCAATGGTAACAAGAGAGGCTGTAATTCAATATTGTTATCGAAAATATAAGGAGCATTCAAAGCTTCCATTCAAGAATTTCGATAGAAAGGAATTTCCGGTATAGTTGATGTTTCATTTTTTTCTTTGTAAGTAAATAAAAAATAGCAAAAGCTTAAGAAATAAAGAGATTCTAGGAAGAAGAAATTGCGCCTTATAAGAACATAAACGATTGCGAAACTAAACGTTCTAAAAATATAAGAATGTCTGAATGGATTTATTTTATAGTTAAAGAGTTATAGTTTTTTAATTACGATAAGTAAGAACTTTTAGGTGTATTGTTTGCGTCATACAAGTAATTATTTTAACTGGTATATTATAAATTTATAATCTCAAAGGTGCCAGATGTTAATTGAAACATGATATAGAAGCATATATTTATACATAAAGACAGCCCGTGCATTTTCCCCTCGATTTTCACATAAGCGATGTGATGGCAGAACTGACGCAGGGCTAATTCTCAGAGACAAACACTTTAATTATAACCTTACCACATGTCTACGTGTCGACGTATTATCGTATTAAACGCGGTCATTGTCGTTTTCTTGCTATTCCATTACTTTTGCGTAAACTTATACATATTCAGATAACTGTAGAGACTTTTTAGAAGAATTTATTTCCTAAAAATATTTGTAAAAGTATTATAATTCTTTATAAAAATATCACAGAGTGCCCAATAATATAAATGATAAATTAATTTTTATTAGATTTGGAAACTGTTGAAATAATTAGCAATTAATTATTTCTTTGCGCATATACACAAGATAATAACGTTTTAATTTCTAAAAGATGATGTTATATTTTTTTTATTAAACGATAAACAATACTACATATTTTGTGATCCTCAAAATTTGATAGAATACAGAACTATCTTGATTTTATTTGTTTTGTACGCAACTATCTGAGTTTTCTTGTTTTGCGAATGTGTGTGATATTTCTCACAAAAACATTCTTTTCGAACAGGATTCATTAAAGCTTTCAGAATTAATGAAAAATAAAGTGTAGATTGCGAATTAATTGAAATCTATTATTATATTTGTGTGGTGCGTGTGCGTGTGCGCGCGCGCGCGCGTAAATATATATAATATATAGTATACAGAGACACACATACAAGCAATACACATATACAATACATATATTTCGTAAGCGCATGCAATTTTCTTCTAATTATTTGCTTTCCGTTGCGCCCATATACCATTTTACGCGGGCAGTGGTAACGCTATTGTTGTGGCGCGATACTGGATTGATGGAAATAATGGTGTAGGAGGAAAACAAAGAGAGCTCGACCACGTCACTGTCGACCGCTATCAATTATTTTCAAATTACGAATTTCGCCAGCATATAGTACAATTGATTTATTCACGTCGTCGAGTACCGGCGCCATTTATTCGCGATGCACTATAACGTCCATTTTATATGTTGCCATTTTTCTCGAGCTTTTCATTGAAAGTTGAATGAGAGATAAGATAAAGTTATTAAGATTTTTTAAATCTTTTTAATAAAACTGTTTCTCTTAATTGTTAGCTTTATATGAATAGCAGATATGTATTTGCACAAAGTTATTTCCAATTTTATTTTTACTTCTATCGCTTATATTGTTATATTTAACGAAAGAAAGATTTTCTATATGTTTATTTATAAGGAAATGTTTTTCTTATTTTTTAATCTCTCTCTCTCTCTCTCTCTCTCTCTCTCTCGCTTAATAAACAATCATAACATTTTACTTGCATATCAAATATTTAAAATTGATAAATGTGATAGAGAAAAAAGGAAAAAATTGTACGTTTGTAATTGTTGGTCTGTTGCAGCGTACAGCTTGCGAAGAAATCGAAATGGTAGAGTTGTGTGGTAGCGGCCAAACTTCTTCGGCCATGGGAGTGATGGGCATCGGTTCAGTGGTGACCGCGGCGACATCGTCATCCTCTTCGTCGACTACCACGACTACAGGTGCCTCATCTTCAGCGTCAGGACGTGCCGGCATTCTCGAAACTCAAGTGCGCGGTCAGTGGTATCGCGTATTCGTTTCTTTGGAAGACGATTATCTCAGTATTTCGCTCGATGAGAGTTGTGAAACCGGTAACAACGCTTTGAACAACGGCAATATCAACAATAACAATGTGGACAGTTTGAACGATCCGGATGTGCCCGATTCGGTAGCCAATCAGAAGCGCATTGTTCGTGTGGTTAAAAGTGACAACAATGGCTTAGGAATTTCGATAAAGGGCGGCAAGGAGAACAAAATGCCGATCCTCATCTCGAAGATCTTTAAAGGCATGGCAGCGGACGCTACTGAGCAACTTTACGTCGGCGATGCCATTTTGGCGGTAAACGGTGAAGATCTACGAGAAGCCACACACGATGAGGCGGTAAAGGCGTTGAAGCGAGCCGGCAAGATCGTTGAACTAGAAGGTAGGCTGTTATCTGCTCTGTTTTCGACATATCTATATTTTTATAAAAGTAGAATACGTAATCTGCCTATTTGCCGTCGAAATTCTTAGAAAGTGTCATGATCACTTCAGAATATGGCATCATTACTTACATTACACGGACAACATGCAGTTTGCGTCATATTATAGCGGCAACTACATTATCCGGGAAACATGCGATATACCAATTTCACTCGTGACGCATTGTTCCTCGGTAACTTTGCGCACAAGTTTCATGGATCCGTTCCTCGGAAGATAGATATACTGAGCGACACAAAACGTTCTTGACATATGCAGCATTAAATTCCACGTCTTTATTCGCACTCTATTTGTGCCGTTTGTCATCCGTCGAGTACTTAGGAAAGGGTTAGTGAAAAACAACTAAAGAAAGAATGCATTTGTAGTACAAGCGCTACCTAGGGCTTTTAGTTAGATTGGTGCGTCGGGTCTATGCAGCCGTCTAAAAGAAGAAAGTCACTTTTTTTTATACATGGCATATTACTATCCTGCAATGTTCTTTACAAGTAGAGAAATCTGAAGATACATCGAGAGATAGATAGATAGAGAGAGGGAGGAGGGGAGGGAGAGAATTGTGCCATTAAAAAAATATATATATATTTTAAAAGTATAATATGTTATGAGATCGGAGAACTACATATATAATATATATATGAGCGCGCACACACACACGTTTTTTATTTAAAAAACAAATCAATATTTATGAAAAATGCTCAATAAATCTTAAAATATTATCCTTTAATTATATAAAAAATTGAGACCAAAAATCTTACATTTTAATGTATTTTTTACTATTTGAATTTTTGTGACTCCAGATGCCCCGATCTCTCATATATATATTATATTTTTCAAAGATTTTTTAGTAAGAAAACATTTTTTATTTTAATTAGCTGTTACAGTGAAATAAAATTCAGTCAGAAACGGTAGTTGTATTGTAATTCGAAAGCTTATGAAAATGCACTTAACATTTAACATTTTTGCCCTAATACGATATCCTTTCGGACCTTTCAATATGGAAGGCTACCGTATTTTGGTATGTGATTGTATGCGTACTGCTGTATCGTTATTTTCTTACGTCTCAAAAGCTAGAAAATGCCGCGACAGTTGTTACTGAGTTATTCCAATTCGAAACTCTCTTTTCTTCTGCTTGCTCCGCGTATTCTACCTACAGAAGGGCGTGACAAAAGAAATTCCGTCTTGACGAATGGAGATTGCCGATGGCGCATACGTCCCGATCGAAAGAACCACTTACAAGATGCAGCAAATAATGAAGCGCTTTCAATTCGGTTGAATCTTGAGTCTTTTCTATGAAGAGGCACTTTTCGCTTCAATTTTATACGGAATATCTAACGAGGAATACTTTGGTTATTTCACTTTTATTGGTACTTTTGTTGGTATAATTACTATTTGTATTCATAAAGCTCATTAAAAATTTTATTTGCTAAAAATTCAATATTATATAATATATTAATCAACAAGCAAAATGTTTAATTCCCTGCGAATTCATAAGAACTTTGAACAATTTATATAGGTTATTGAAAGATTGTACGTACAAACTTTTGAATTGTAAGATCGCTGCACCGGTTGTTCAACAATAATCACCAGTTAAATGACAGTATAAGGAGAAAATATTAAGATAACAAAACTTCAAAATATTAAATTGTATACATTTGCGAAATTGACACCTCATTTTTCAAAAAATGAAATTTTCGACACAATTTCGAATGCATCCCGAAGAGTTCTAGAGTTCCTGCCCAAAATAAAAAATATTTCCTGCGAATTAACACAAAAAATTGCATATTAAAAATTTGAGGTGCCAACTTGACAAAACGCAGAAAGAAAAATCGCGATATCTTCTAAATCATTAGAGTCATAGCGGTTCGAGCATTAAGAACTTTCGTTAGAACACGTGTTATCCAAAACAGAACTGCCGTAACGTTCAAAAAATTTTTTAGAATTAATATTTTTCAGATTTAATTTATACATCAATTTGATTAAAATAAAAAAGTATTTTTTACTTGAAAATGTAATTATATTATTTAGTAAGAAGAGAAAATACACTTTATTTTAATATAATACACAAATAACAATGAATATAATGTGGTCTCATTTGGTTGAGTATGTGTTCATCTATATGGAGTTATGACAATCAAAAAGGAAATTATAGATCATGTGGTTACGAGAAATTCACAGTTAGGCGCGAAAATTGTGATGACGCTTTTACGATACGATCCTCGCAAGGCACAATGCTCAACTTTGCGTGACTTTTCTGCAATAGTTATCTATTCATTGCTCGATAATCTTCGTGTTAGATCTAGGGGAAATTCTGTCTGTGAAATATCGCATGTCCTTGATTAGGGTTCATCGTGAGCGAATCGCACAAGCGCGCGCGTACATGTTATATTTGTGTAATAGTCGTGCGCATATGAGGGAATTACACGCGGCATGAGAGATAAAATAACGTATCTATTATTTATACATAAATTACTGTAACATACTTTTTTTCTAACGCGCATTTTAATGTACTAACAAATGACGTGCATAACGTATCATGATCAGAAATGTATGCGAGAATCGTTAGCGAGGTAACCTTTCTCAAGATATATAAAAATATAATTATAAACATAAAAATGGTTTTATTAAACATATACAATTTTTAATAAAATATTTTTATAAAATGTTTTTTTTACTATAAAAGTCTTGTAAAAATGTAAAAAGTTACATAATTTTTTCAAGGAACAATTCAAGTCAATTCGAATTTAATTCAATTTATCCTAATCTAATTATCTAATAAATGTTGGTTATAAACAGTTTATTAAATAAAATACAATAAGCTTTAAGAGATAAATCTGTAATGTTTAAAAAAATTAAGGATATAAAAATTATTAATAATCTAATATATGAAAATATATTACATATAATAATATAAATGTATATTTTACGAACTACTAATATAGTTTTCTAATAAAAAAGTGATAGCTATAGCATTTATTCTATTTGTTTTATGATTCTCTCGAAATCTATTCACGTTATGACTTTCTGCTATAAGCTATATCTACGTGCCACATTTCATATTATGGTGCATGGCGAAAAGACATATCAGCTACTAAAATCAGATGTCTTTTTTTACTTTTTATATGACATTCCAGAATTGTATATTCACATCTTCACTTTTATTTAATATAAACTGTTTGATACAGGATGTGTATGCGTATGCATATATAGTATAATAAAAGAAAAATTATAGGTTTGCACGTTTATAACGGATGCTATTTACTTGCTTGCGAAAATAAAATTTCATTAATTTATTGTTAAAAAAATTTTTTTTCTTTATTATATAATTGATATAATTTGATAATTTTCATAACAATCAAAATACTCTGATGTGAAAAATATTGATGTTTAAGAAATATGTATTCCTATATGATAAAAATTTTAGACAGTAGACACAATGTATTACCATGGCTTCTCTATTTCTATATGATATGTACAGATAGAGAAAGATGATCATTATTATATAATCTCTCTTTTATTTTAAATATTATATGCGTATGGTGCGGTAAGTAAAATTGGATACATCGAAAAATTTCAAAAGTAAATTGCATTATCTTGATTTATTCTTTCTAACTCGCCATGAGATCGACTGAAGACTGTAGGATCGTTTAGCGAGGAGAAGATATACGCGGACTATATATCATCATACACAGTATAATACATATTTCTTAAATATCAATATTTTCCATATTTGAGTATTGATTGTTATGAAAATTATAAGTATTTGAGACTCCCAATTAATATTGGAATAAGTATATATGTATAGTTATTGTATATATTGTACATATAAAAAATGAATAACAGTAATTTGTAAAAGCTAGCTAAAGATTCTAATAGATACATAGTTATCAATATTGATTAACAAACTTCATCTAATTACTTGTTATTAAGAACTAATTAGCAATGAGTGCACATTAGAGAATGCTTGTTTTAGAGTCTATGTCAATAATTAGCGAAGACCTCTTCGTCATTAATTGCACAGCAAACAAATGGTAATCTCGCGTAACAATGGGTTGGAATCGATTGTAGTTGTCGAAAAAGTGATTATGGACTGATTATGTAATCAATGTAATGCGTAATGACAGTATACATATACGCAATTGTTTACAACTATGATAAAGAGCTTATAGGAAGTCTGTATGTGTATGTGAATTATCATTTATAGCGGGTAAAGCTCAATATATCAAATCAATTTCTACATGAATTATATTGAAAGAATTTATAAGATTTCAAGTTTTATAATTTTTATATCACAGAATTTTTATAATAGTAATGACAATTTATGTCAATGTAAAAGCAAATAAGGCTAATTTGAGGGAAAATATTGATAGTTTTTTAAAAAATAATACCTAAAAGCATCTTATTTTTTTGACTCCTTGATAAGACTCCTTTCTTAAAAAATGATTAAATTAGATAATAAAATTATACTGATTGCGAGTTTTATATTGGGCACAAAGATTAGTAAAACTGCATCAAGAAGAGACTTACTACATAGGTAAATGAATAAATTTATGTAGATGAACATTATGTCAAAGATTTTGAAATGTATAGATGTATTTTTGAGCAGATATTTGTAACTGCAGGCTATGCTTACAAATTTTAACGCGTTGAATTTGAAAGATGTCAGTCGCGTTTGTACGATCCGTATAGTCCGTATCTTATCGCTATTCGCTACCGATTTACCGCATTGAAGTAAAGCTCGCGCGAAGCAGCCGCGACGCAACGCGACGCGACGCGACGCGACGACTTCCGTCCAAGTCGGGTCAAAGGCATCCTTTGGAGCATCCTTTCCCGGCATCTCGCGACTGTCGACGAGAAAATTACAGGCGAGATACACTCACGCGACGGAAACCGTAGCGAGAGGAAGGAAGGAAGGAAGGAAGAGACGAAAAGGGAACGAGGCGCGCGCGATGCCGTCGTTCCTCATGCGGATACGCCGTAAATCATGACGAAGTACCGTAAAGGACGAAATGAAAGGCATGCGAGACACTGTGGAGCGATATATAAGACTCGTGAGGACGAGAGCGCGCAGCTCGTGCCTTATATCCGAGTCAGTATAGCGTGTCAGTATAGTGAGTGTTGTACTCGAGCCGCTCTAAAGGTAAAGTGTAAGTTGGGTTCGAAAAATTCTGTCTTTTGACATATCTTCACATTTTTGTGACTTTTATATGACTTACACTTTGCATTTTAACTTAATTTTTCTCACCATTACGTATTTAATTTGAAACGCATTTTTACCTGACATTTTATTTATAATAAAAATAAATCAGTATTATATTTGAGAGTTGTCTATTGTATACAGATTTAAAAACGTTCATGTAAATAATGACAATCTGCAGTAGGTATAAAGTATTTTTAATAGTAGAATGATTGCAAAACAGTTACACTGAAATAACTGTACTAAATTTTAAGAAATATTGCATTCGTTTGAATAGTACTAACTTGATACTATATATATATATAAATGTAACATATATATTAATTTGGTAGAAGAACCATTTATTCATTTCTAATTATAATTTTTTTATTGAATAAATATTTATTTGCTAAATTAAAGTTTAGTTAGTATTACAATATTACTGAAGAAAATATCATTAGGTGATGACTTAGGATTAAATGTAAAACTTTTTTGCATAATCAAGCGAGCAACGTGACGAGACAGTGATCAGTCTACGGGCGAAGCATGAACCATTCCTATCGTGCGTAATTACTGTTAGAGACGGTTGCAATTGTAATACATAACGGTCGATGTTCAACCGGAAGATATCGCGTTTTTGTAATTACCACTGAGGAATCGCATGTTCACTATTAAATGCAAAGTGACTTAGCGAGTGATGTCGGTGAATGTATATGTATGGTGATTGTTGCATTGAGAATTAATTTATGTGTAAGGGAACATTGAAGCAATTTAAAATGATTTTGCAATAATGGAAATGAGAAGTATCTTTTTTTCTTTCAAAACAAGGAATATTTTTTATGATATAAATTTCCTACATAAAGCTACTAATTTATGAATTAGCAGCTTTATGTAAAATATTTAATGATAAATGAATAATGGTAGCGATACACACAATGAATGAGTAATGTCAGGGACACTCGTGTATTTTTTTAATAGGAAATTAAATTTTTATTGACTGATCGAAAGTTTCAGTTTTGTAAATTTGAAAATTTCTGCGAATAAAATCTTTGGTTCGTTTTGCTTTATCATATCGTATGGTTTCAATATACTGAATTGTTTATTAATCTGTATGTATATGTATATAATATATATGTATATACAGAGAGAGAGAGAGAGAGAGAAAAAGAGAGAGATAGAGAGATTTATAGAATTAAAAATATTTCAATGATGTATTCAGGAAAGGACTATTTTACAAT